AATATGTACATACATGGCCAACAGACATACATTTGCATAAATATGTACATATATACATACATTAATATATATTGATAGACACATACATATGCATGCAAGTTAATTTCTAATCTAACTAGTTCTGTCTTTTTCTTTATTGATTTTAGAGAGAGGGGAAGGGAGAGGGAGAGAGAGATAGAAACATTGATGAGAGAGAACATTGATTGGCCGCCTCTTGCATGCCCCCCACTGGGGACTGGGCCCACAACCTGGGCATGTGCCCTGACTGGGAATTGAACCAGCGACCTCTTGGTGCATGGGTCGATGCTCAACCACTGAGCCACACCAGCTGGTTCTGTCTTAATTATAGAGCATCATTCACTATTCATAAATGAAGCTAGTTAGGACCTGATTTTTACATCTACCTGTTTCAATCTAAGGAACCACTTTTAGCCCTGGCCGATTTGGCTCAGCGGTTAGAGCGTCGGCCTGCGGTCCGGAGAGACCCGGGTTCGGTTCCCGCTAAGGGCGCGTACCTCGGTTGCAGTTTGTCCCCGGCCCTGGTTGGTCGTGCGGGTGGCAGCCACTCGATGTGTCCCTTTCACATCGATGTTTCTCTCTCTCTCTCTCCCTCCCACTCTATCTGTACAAAAAGTGGAAAAATGTCCTCGGGTGAGGATAAAAAATAAATAAAAAAAAAAAAAAAGGAACCACTTTTACCCAGAAACCTACTCAACTAAAGGATGACTTTCTTTAATGTTTAACCTGTGAAATTAATTATTAGCTGGACAGTTCAGAACTTAGCTTAAGATACTACATCATATTCATCACTAGCTCTAACATACACATAAGTGGTGGCCGCATTTTCATAACCACAGTTAGAACCTGTGTCTAGCAATGAACTGCTGTGCTGGGAACTGAACTTGCTTAGAAACCCTGGCTTCTCTATGGAGAGAACAGTCAATTCCCCTAAAGCCATGGAAAGCAAACTTCTGGGGTTAAGAGCTGCTACCAATAATGCCTGATTTTATCCTTTCCATCACGATTTTATGGCACTTATGTTTATAGCATTACAAAATTGTACTGTATTGAAGTACAATTACTCAGTCTTCGGAAATCACTTGGAAACAATTCGCGGCATCCTCTGTCTTCTCTCCGAGGTCAAGATGTGCAGCGTCAGTCAGTCAGTTGTAGTAGAAGAGGTTGGTTTTCTCCCAGGATTTGGTGTCAACAAGTTTTCTCTCTGGAGCCAAGATGACAGCACTAACTCTAACCCAAATGCACCATTTTCCCATGTGGAAAGCTCCCATCACCCCGACCAGCTCTAAGTTCACACTTATTAATGGAGATGTCCATTTGGACATTCCTACCCGAGTGGCCTCAGACAAGTTATTTAACCTATTGATTCTTTGTTTCCTTATCTGTAAAACAAAGATAATAAGAATACCTGCCCTATTGTTAACAATACTATGTTGTACACTTAAAAACTGATTAAGAGGATTGGTCTCAGGTTAGGTGTTCTTGCCACAAAAAAATAAATTTAACGACAACAGAAAAAATATCTGCCTCAAAGAATTGAAGAGGCTTAAATAAGTAGATATGTATATAAATCATTAGAACAGTGCCTGGAACACAGTAATGAATGAGTGAGTGAGTGAATGAATGAATGAACGAATGAATGAAATATACAGTACATCTTTTACTGCTCTCTCATCGCTTCTATATACATCGTATTGTCCCACAAGACTATAAGCTATTTAAGGCCAGGTACCACATTGGCACTATACTTTTCTATCCACCTTCCACCCTCAGTGAACTTAGCCCAGCAGTAGACATGTTAGGCCATTAATAAACAGTTGTGTCCCTGGCCGGTTTGGCTCAGCAGTTAGAGCGTTGGCCTGCGGTCCAGAGAGTCCTGGGTTCAATTCCTGTTAAGGGCATGTACCTCGGTTGCAGTTTGTCCCCGGCCCTGGTTGGTTGTGCGGGTGGCAGCCACTCGATGTGTCCCTTTCACGTCGATGTTTCTCTCTCTGTGTTCCTCTCTCTCCCTCCCACTCTATCTGAACAAAAAGTGAAAAAATGTCCTCAGGTGAGGATAAAATAAATAAATAAACAGTTGTGAGTCTGACCGCAGCAATATCGAATTGAAGAAAACATCTCAGAACACAATGAGTGCTTTCTAACCAATGTCTCTAGATCAGTGGCTTTCAAAATACTTGACCCCAACACAGTTTTTATGTTGCTAATCAATATACACATGAACATGTCCGTATGTTTATATGGTGTATATCTGACTGAAATTAAAGTTTTACTAAACAATAGTTAACCTTACTACATAAAATATGCTCTGATATTTTCTATTCTAGTTCAATCCAATCCAGGACATTACATGAGCACTCCAATCACTTGGAGGTCATGCTAAAATATAGGCGAGGGTGTGGAGAACAGGGGACTCTAGCACACTGCTGGTGGGAATGCAGACTGTGCAGCCACTATGGAAAACAATATGGTGTTTCCTCAAAAATTAAAAGTATAACTGCTATTTGACCCAGTGATCCCACTTCTAGGAATATACACTAAGAAGCTTGAAACATCAATCAGAAAGAATATATGTACCCCTATGTTCATAGCAGCACTATTTACAATACCTAAGATCTGGAAACAGCCCAAGTGTCCATCAGTAGATGAGTGAATTAAAAAGTTATCACACATATACACAATGGAGTACTATGCAGATGTAAGAAAGAAAGATCTCTTATCCTTTGAGACAACATGGAGGGACCTGGAGAGTATTATGCTAAGAGAAATAAGCCAATCAGAGAAAGACAAGTATCACATGATCTCATTTATTTGTGGAATATAATGAACAAAATTAGCTGAAGAACAAAATAGATCCAGAGACATAGAAGTAGGGAACAGACTGACAATCCTCATAGGGAAGGGGGGGAGGGAGGAAGGAAGAGATAAACCAAAGAACTTATATGAAAATATGCACAACCAATGGACACAGACAATAGTGTGGTGACGGCGGGGGAGTGGGGAGGAGGGTGTCAATGGGGAAAAAAGGAGGGACATCTGTAATAAAATAATATATATACATACATATATACATACTCCGCAGGACTTGGGTAGGATTAGAGAGCCTGGGTTTCTATCAAGCTCCCAGTGACACTCTGGGTCCATGGACCACACTTTGAGTAATAAGAGTCTAGTCTAATCTATTACAATTATTTTTTTAATTCTGGGAATGGGTCTCTAAATTTATTCATAGCCCACTAAAGAAAGAGCTGCTATCTGCTGTTTGTAAAACACGGCCCCAAATATTTTCAAAATTTTCTTTCATCTGTCTCTATAATTCCATTGCTATCTTTCTGGCCTTGGGACTAAAAATCCCAGGCCTACTGGAAGTGGGAGGTGGGGAGTTCACAGCAAGAATGACTCAAATATCACCTTTCCTCTTGACAGGCTGAAATGCCTCTCTGGTTCCTAGCCCTTTTCTCACTGTTCGAAGCCTGCTCCTTGCAGCCATGTTAATAACTTGCTGAGCACTTATTAAGAACAGAACACTGAACCAAGTACTTTATATTTAACCCCATATATTCCTGCCCCCACCCTATGAAGGTATACCCATTTCACAGATAAGAGAAGGTAAGTAGCTAATAACTGGTGGAGCTGGGATTCCAGAGACTATGTTCTTGAGACAGCCAGCCTCCAAGATGTTCCTTGCAGTGATCCTTGCCTCCTGGTGTTCACAGTCAATAGGGCTGACCTGGTAACCAACAGGGTACTAAGGATATCACAGCATGTGACTTCCTAGGCTCAGTTAGGAGACATTGTGGCTTCTGTCTTACACTCTCTTGGACAACTCCCTCTAGAGGAAGCCAAGTCGCCATGAGAATCCTCAAGCAGCCTTATGAAGAAGTCTACACATCAATGGACTGAAGCTTCCTGCCAACAACCAGCACCACTGTTAGGCATACAAGTGAGCCACTGTGGAACAGAGCCTCCAGCCTGTGTACCTTCAGGTGGCCTGTAGCCCCCAATGACATCTTGACTACAACCTCATGATCACCTCAAGACAGAACCACCCAGCTAAGTCTCTCCCAAATTCCTGACCCACAGAAAATGTGTGAGATAATATTATGCTCTATTGTTTTATACCATTCCATTAAGTTTCGGGGTCATTTCTCATGCAGCAGTAGACAACTAATATGGTTTTTAACCAACAGGTTATAGTGTATCATTATGATTCAGCCCAAAAAAGGAAAGTGAAATTTTTATGAAGGTCGTTTGGATTACTTCTTCAGCATTACTTGGTACAGCATGTACCATTTCAGCAAAAAAATTTAAAATTTGATTCTCCCATTAATGTTTACATTCACATTATTTTGTGTTAGTTTCAGGCGTACGTCCTAGTGGTTAGACAATCATTTACTTTACAAAGTGTTCCCCCTGATATTTCTAGTACCTACCTGGTCCCATGCACAGTTAGTGCAATGTTAGTGACTACATTCCCTATGCAGTGACTATATTTAGTTGCAGGACTATTTTGCAACTATCAATTTGTACTTCTAGATCCCTTCACGTTTTCTAGTCAGTCCCCTAATCCTCCTCCCAGTTCAGCAAGTTTTCATCCTCCCCTTGCAACCACCTTTGTGAGCGGCATTGCTTCCCCTTCAGACTTGACCAGGTGACTTCTTATAGTCAGCTGGATACGGGAGCAGTAGTGTTAAAACATATCGAATATAAGTTTTTAGAGATACTACAAGAATCTCCCTGCCCTCTTTAGCTTCTGCTCTCATTTGTAAAAACAATTATATCCCAGAGAAATGAAAGTTCCTTCAGCCTTGGTCCCAAAATGAGAAGGCATGGAGCACGTACCAGAACTTGTCCCCCAGCTTGGGGACAAGCTAAGCTGAGCCCAAGCAGAGACCTATGAGCGAGGAGTAAATGGTTATGGTGGTAATCCGCAAGATTTCCGGTTTGCCCGTTACCACAGCAACAGCTGACCATGCACTCACCATGCTGTATGATGCCATACTCCATAAGCCGGTGGCACAGCTGCTCTGCCTCTTTCCTCGTGGTGGCCTCCCCTTCCTGAACCAGCCAATCCAGGAACTCAGATGCCATGAAAGTGCGCTCATACTTGACCCCCTCCTCTTCCCGGGGCTGCAGGAGTGTGTTTTCAGGGCTCATCAGCCTGAAAGGAAGAAAGAGATGAAAAATAAACCTACACACAAGGGAAAGAGCTCATTTGAAACCCTGCATCAGAGGATTCTGTGCAGCACCACAGCAGAGTCGTCAGACAGACGGACGTGGCTGTCACGTGCTAACACAAATGTAATTTTTAAGAGAAGGATCTGCCTCAGATGTGAACAAGATGCATTTTCTCCTGGTAATTAGAAAAAAGTTGAAACCCTAGCATTAGCTGAGTACATTTGGTTTAGCCATCTTGAAAAGGAGTTACAACTTACTGACCAAGCCCTGCCCTACCTTTCTGCAAAGGCTAGTATTTCTTTCCCAAAGGCATTCATCCACTTCCCAACGGTTCTACTGAGCACGGTTCCACTTCTGCTGTGGACTGAAGGTCTGTGTCTTCCCAAAATTCACAGACTGAAACGCCAATGGCCTATGTGATGGTATTTGGAGATGGGGTCTCTGGGAGGTGATTATTTCATGAAGTTGGGGCTCCCATGATGAGATGACCACGCTTACAAGAAGTGCCCCAAGAGCCCGGCCAGGTAACTCAGGTGGTTAGAGCGCCATCCCTATACACTCTGGTTGTGGGTTTAGTCTCTGGTCAGGGCACAAACAAGAATCAATCAATGAATGTGTAAATAAGTAGAACAATAAATCAGTGTTTCTCTGTATATCTCTTTCTAAGAAAGAAAGAAAGAAAGAAAGAAAGGAAGGAAGGAAGGAAGGAAGGAAGGAAGGAAGGAAGGAAGGAAGGAAGGAAGGAAGGAAGGAAGAGGCTCTTAGGCTGCTTTCCCCGGGTTAGTCACAACTGAGCTGGTGTGAGCAGTAAGAATTATATTTACTATAACAATGACCATCATCTTAGAAGATGGAAAGGACAACTGCTGCATATACATCAACAGAAGCCACAGAACCATGACAACATTCTCTAGGAGACTGTGTTCAAGGACGGCCACACCAACTCCTCTCATGCCTCTTTCCAGTGCAACTTCCCTGCTTCTGCCAACAGACTGAGTCTACTTCCCCTTCCCTGAGCCTGGGCTGGCTGGTGAATCACACTGACCAACCACACGCAGCGGCAGTGACATGGAGACTTCCAAGGCGGGACTTCCAGAGTCCTTGCAACTCCCAGCTTCACCCCCTTGCGATGCTCTGATGAGACCACCATGCAAGGAAGCAAGTCTCACCTGCTGGAGGTAAAGAGGCCCCAAAGAGAACTAAACCAATCCTCGGCCATGTGAATGAGCCTCTCCCAGACCTTCCAGCCCAGCTGACCCTCCGGTAACCATAGAAACAAGCCTAAGATGAAACCAGTAAAGGAAACACCATGCAACCCACAAAACCCAGAGAAATAATACACCACTGTTGTCTTAAACTGCTAAGTTTGGGGGTGATTTGTTTTACAGGAAGAGATAACATTCATATCAATGGGCAATGACAAAAGGTGTGAAAATCCACAAAAAGAGAGACGTCACACTGCTCAGAAAGTACTGACGGAACAATGAACAAACCCTGGAAGGCTCTGGAATGAAGTGCATGGGAGGCCCTGCGGAGGTAGACCTGGGAGCCCCACTGGTGATGCGGAGGAGCGGAGGAGCCCGTGTGCATGCCAAACAGGAACATAACCGTTTCTTCATTTTTTGGACCCTCAAATAAGGTATTCTGGAGTGAAATGGAGTAAAATTAGCCTCCTAAGTTTCCCAGTTTCTTACATTATTTCCTCTAAACAGTTGTCTACAATCCCACAAATTCGGACCACGAGCCACTTCCAAGGGCTCCCCTAGTTCCCAGCCACGTCCCTTTTCAGAGCTTTAGGGGAATCACCTATTCACACTGTGAGCTTTTTGACACAAGGGGTCCCTGTCTATGTGGTTCACGGTTGTTTCTAGCACAACAGCTCCTCCAGGACTGACTGAATGAACACATGAAACTCATCTCTGTGCCCTCCCTGCTGTGCATCACTACCCGAGTACATTAAAGATGACCCCTTAGGATGACCCTGTGTGGAGATGAGGTGAATCAAGAGTTTCTGACTCAGGGATTCTCTACTTGGAAGATCCAGACACAGCCCTGGCCTGGCTGGCTCGGCAGTCAGAGCATCGGCCTGAGCATCGGCCCAAGGACCAAAGAGTCTTGGGTCCAATTCTAGTCAAGGGCACGTACTTTGGTTGTGGTTTGGTCCCTGGTCCTGGTCGGGGTCATGGGGTAGGCAACCAATCGGGGTATGTGTGTGTGTGTGTGTGTGTCTCCCTCCCACTCTATCTGAAGATACATGGAAAAATATCCTCAGGTGAGGATTTAAAAAATAAATAAATCATAAGATCCAGATACAGACACCTGGCCTTTTTCTCTGTTTCTGACATTGTCCCAGCTCATCGATTTTCCTTTCAGGGTGTGGGGAGGACACATGGATGGGAGTTTACTGGTGTCACTTCTTCTAACCAGAAACATGACCTGCCAGCCCTCTAGAGCTCCTGCTAAGTAGCTGGTGGCCTCCAGACAAGCGTCTGGTCAGCTGCTGCTGTCAACACAAGAGACCAGTTGGCAGGCCTGCCTGGATTTGCTCGGCATGCCACTTGATTAAAACCTGCACTAACACCCTTAGCTCTTCCTTCTTTCATTTCCCCTTCCACGGGGTTTGATTTTCGTATCCACATGTGGTCACAGAGTTGAAGCAGGACTTTGACTTAGTCCTTCTTCCGATTATGTTTTGCTATGTAACAAGCTACCCCCAAACTTGATGGCTTTAAACAATCATCATTTACTCATATTTTAACATTCTGGGGTGGTCTCAACTAGGCAGTTCCTCTATCAGTCTTGCTAGAGGTAACTCATGCAATTGCAGGCAGGTGGTGGCCAGGACAGGGTGTCTGTCCCTGTGGCGCTCCTGAGTCAACATAGCCTCTCTCTCCAGTGAGACAGGCTGAACACCGAGATGCAGAGCCGAGGAGGGCGGAAGTGGATACCTCCAGGACACGTTTATAGTTTTATTGCAATATAATGCAATGAACTCATTTCGTATGTACAATTCAACGGTATTTAATATACAAACAGAGTTGGATAAACCACATTTTGTTTATCCATTCATCAGCTCTTGCCATTTTGGTTGTGGTGAATAATGCTGTTTTGAAAGTTCATATCGAAATTTTTGTGTGGACGTATGTTTTCATTTCTCTTGGATATACACCTAGAAGTAGAATTGCTGGGTCATGTGGTAACTCTGTTTAGCTCTTTGAGAAACTACCAAACTATTTTCCAAAGCAGTTGTACCATTTTACCTTCTCACCTTTAAAGCATTAGAGTTCTAATTTTTCCACATCCTCATCAATATTTGTTTTCATATTTTTATTTTTATTTTTTTAAGGTGATTCTCGTTGGTGTGGAGTGGTATCTCAATGTGGTTTTGATTTGCTTTTCCCTAATAATTAATGAAATTGAGTATGTTTTCATGTGCTTATTTGTCCCTTTGTATGCCTTCTTTGGAGGAATGTCTATTTGGATCCTTTGCCCACTTATAAATTAAATTACTTGTCTTTTTATTATTTATTTTAAGTGAATTTTAAATATTCTAGATGCAAGTCCTTTATCAGACATATAATTTGCAAATATTTTCCCCCATTTTGTGGGTTATTGTCCACTTTCTTGGTGGTGTTGCTTACAGGCCCAGAGTTTTCCATTTTGGTGTAATCTAATGTATCTATTTATCTTTATTGCCACATGTGGGTTTGGTGTCAAAATTTGGAAGCCATTCCTTAGCTCAATCCCATGAAGATTTATTCCTAGGGTTTCATATAATTGTTTTATATGAAACAATTATAGCTTTAGCTCTTGCATTTAGTTCTATGATTTATTTTGAGTTAAGTTTTCTACAAGGCACGAGGTAAGAGTTCCAACTTCTTCTTCATAGCAGCTATCCAGTTGTCCCAGCACCATTTGGTAAAATGACTATTTATTCCCTGTTGAATCACCTTGGCACTCTTGTCAAAAATCCGTCAACCATGCCAGGCCTTCTTGATGCCTACTCTCAAAAGACACAGATGTCAATTGCACTGAATTATCTTTGCTGAAGCCATCACACACATGCCAGACTCAGGGGGAGGAGACGCATCTCTTCATGGAAAGAATAACATGCACATATTGAAGAGGGAAATGTTTGGAGCCATCACTGGAAACAAGCTACCATACAGCTTTATTTCAGTCAGCTGAAAAGCAATTTCAATATGCATAGCTCCATCACGGTTTTATGTTGTCTCTTCCTCATTTATTTAATATGTTTTGCTTTACTTAAAGTGTGGGATAGTTTTAAAGGCATGAGATCTAAAGACAGGCATAGCTTCAAATCCTAACTCTGCACACTTGCTAGCTACATGACTCTGCTTCTCCAAGTGTAAGACAGGGACACTACTGACGCCTCCTTGGGCAGCTGTTGTGTAGCTGAAGCGTGATAATGCATGAAATGCTTCGACCATGGTGCCAATCACCATAAATACTGAATACAGGGCAGCCGTGATGGTGATGGTGATGATGATGATAAAAGTTTTCTAGATGGAACTATTCTTCAATAAAGCCGAACACCTTTCTTTGTGGCACAGTGAATTAAGATTGTGTGTGTATTTCTGTAGACAAGAATAACAGTTCCATTTTAATGCGACAGCAGAAATGTGTATGATGCCCTGAAATTCTCAGATTTTATACAACAAATTCATTTCTAGTCAAAGTTTTCCTGTGCTGGCCCTTAATCACGACATAAAGCCACAGGCCTGACAAGGTGGATATTAACGATACTCACCTCCTCCAAGTACTCCCCAGATGTTGATCGTGCATGTGAGCCGCCTTCAACCTTTCCTGGATACATGTGAGTCAGATTTCCCAGACTCTTTAACCCAGGGGGAAGGCAGCATCACAATAGAAGGAACTGCTACATTTAGGGGCCAGTACGGGAATAGAAATAAACTGATAGTGATCTCCTTGTCCATTGAAAAAAAAAATCGAAAGAGCTGA